CCCCAAAACCCCAAAACCCCAAAACCCCAAAACCCCAAAATTTTATTTTAAATTTAAATTATTCAAATTCTTATAAAAATAATTATGCTGAGACCTATTCCGACAAAGACCAAAGAATTTAAGATACACCAGCAATTCCCAAGAAATACTTTGAACAACTCGACGGTGAACACCCTTGGGAACACGAATGACAAGTTAGAAGTGTTCCCTCCTGAGATTTTCATCAAAGATATTGAGCCCCTCCAGAACTATGAAGTTACTGTCATTGTAAGGAACATCACTAAGAAAGTCAGAAGACTTGCATTCAAGCAACCCAAGACTAGCAAATTTAAGCTAGACTATGACATGGACGGCCCAATCGCAGCTGGACTTGCTGTAAAGATCAATGTCAGCTTCGAAACTGATTACATTGGAGATTTCCATGACTGTATCGAAATATCCAGCAGTGAGAACAACAAGGATGAGGATTTCAAAGGATCTGAGACTCAGTTCATGAGTACTCCAAAGGATACATACAAACTTTACCTTCATGCTCTCCAGCCTGCTCCTGATGTCCAGTTTGAGCCTCTGGTAAATTTCAAATTCATCCCGATCAATGAGACAAGACATGAGATCGTCGAATTCAAAAATGAAGGGAAGCTTCCAGGAAAAGTCAAACTTGTGTATGACAAGAAGACACAAGATATGCAGGTTGACCCATCTGAGTTCTCTATTGAGCCTGATGAAGTCTCTCAAGTCCAGATCGCTCTCAAAGCTTCGGAGCCTGATTTCCTCAGGAAGCTCATTGAAGTTCATGTGGACGGTCAAGATAAAATCAGGAATATTGATGTTAACGCAACCAGCGTAGAACATCACCTCTCTATTGTATTTGAAGAAGGAGGTGGACAAAAGAGTTCACTCAACTTTGGTACTCTTTACATGGGTGAGAAGAGAGAATACCCGGCATCCTTGGTCAACAATGGACCAAGACCAGTCAGTTTCAATGTTAAGTTCCTTCAAGGAATCAGAAATCTTGATGATGACCTTCATATTGAAGATGAAGCTTTTGTATCTCCAAACGAGGCAGGAAGAGAACTGACAGAAAGAGTCCTGACTACTTTCCCTCTTGCTGGAGAAGTGCCAGCCTACTCTCAAATTCCAATCAAGTTTATCTGTAGAACTAAGAAAGGAAAGAAAGCCTTTGGTTTCTCAGATCACACCAAAAAGGATAGGCCAAAGAGCACTGAAAGTCAAAGCATTGTTGCTAATCAAGAAAAGTATGAAATTAAGCCAACAGAATACTCGAGTGTTGCTGTGATGGGATTTGATATTTCACACGAACCACTTAAAGTTCAAATGATGGCTAAGGCTAGCTTCCCAGATCTCAAATTGAATAGACAAATGCTTCAATTTGGAGAGTGTGCCACTAATGGAAGAAGAGATTTCACATTGACAATCAAGAACAAGAATGAAGATCTCCCACTTGACTTCAACTTTACCAAAGTGGCTAACTTTAAAATAGAGCCAGCTAAAGGAAAGCTGATGCCTTCTACAAAGCATACCATTAATGTATCTTTTGAGCCAAAGAGTTTTGGAGTTTTCAAAAATGTAATCAATCTGAATTTCCTGAAGAATGCTTATCAAATCCCAATCACCTTAATGGGATCATCGAACTCAATGCAGAATAAAGAGAAGAAAATCAGAGGGCCGCTTGCTACAAAAGATGATTTCATGCCAAAAAGGACATATCTCTCAGAAAATGATGTTGAACCAGCTCCTTTCAAGAGAACTAAGATTCAAAATGAGCTTGGAATCCCAAAGCACTTGCTTGAATCGACAACCATGGAGATGGATAGCGTTATGAGGATGGAAAACACTGAGAATCTTGACCAATACCTGATTCAAAAGAAAATCAAGGATGACTACAACAACTACCTTAAGCAAAGCAGACTTCAGAGAGAAAAGAAAAAAAAAATAGTAATTAGTCAAAAAAGAAGAGAAAAGATTCTTCCCAAGACTGTGGAAGAGATTGAAGCCGATCCTGATATTGGCCTTGATGACTTTAAAGTTTCTCCTCCCGAGCTTAAGGTACCGAATGAGTATTATCCCCTCCATGTTGAGAAACCTCTTGGAAATTATGAGCCAATGCAAGCTGACCTTATTAAAAGACAGAAGATAGAATTTGATGAGAATAGACTGATTAGAAAGAAAGGAAAGCCAGAGCCAACCACACAAGCTGAGATCAGAGACTGTGCTGAAGAGCTTGACGGAGCCAAACTTCAGAAAATTTCTGCTGGACCTCAATCTATTGACTTCAAGAATGTTTTTGTTAAGTCAACCACTACTAAAGGATTTACAGTCAGAAATGATTTAAGGCAATGTATTCACATCAGACTAGTTATCGAGCATAGTGAGTTAGAAAAATCTGGCCCAACTTCTCAAGTGATAGAGCCAGGACATGAAGGAGGATTCGATATTGTCTTTTGCTCTTCTAAAGCTCAAAACTTCAAAGGAGTAGTCACTTATTTCATTAATGATGTCCATTCTTTCAAATTCTTAGTCACTGCCCAATCTGATCCAGTCCATCTCGAACTGCAAAAGAAGGTTATCAAGTTCAATTTCCTAGAAGAGAGTACTGATATGAGTGTGAGTGAAAATTTGATGCTCACTAATAATGGAAATGATAAGGCTACCTTCCACTGGCAGCCCTCTGGGTCTGATATCTTTGTTCCATATCCAATGGAAGGGACTATCCAAGCAGGAGGATCAATGAAAATTAAATTTACTTTTACTCCCCCTGGGCCTAAGCCTGAAGATGAGATCATTACTCTCAAGATTGACGATGGAGTCACTCTTGATGTTAAATGCCAAGGATTCGTCACCGAATCAAGATGTCTATTCCAAGAGAAATTCCTTGATTTTGGAGCTGTTCCAGTTGGAATTAGAACAAAGGAAGAAATTCTTCATATCAAAAATCTGCTTAGAACTCCATCTGTGTTCCACATCAAAGAAGTTAGTGATGATCTAACAATTTCCCCAACTATGGGAAGAATTCCTCCTGATTCCAGACAGAGCATCTCTTGTAGCTTCTTGTCTAATATCGAGAAGCAGTTCCAAACTGAAGTTGAAGTCCAAATCAGAGGTGGAAACTCAATTAAAATCCCTATCAAGGCTCATGCTGTTGTTCCACAGGTCAAGATTGTGGAAGAAGAGTTTGATTTTGGTGGAGTCACCTTCGGTGACTCAAAAACTCTCGATCTCACTTTGGAGAATGAATCCAGCATTGAGGCAAAGCTCATCGTGGATCTCAGAGAATTCCCAGAATTTGAACTGACCTTAGTACCTGAAGTCACTGATGACGATGATGTCATGAGCGAAATCATGATTCCAATCTCAGAAGAGAAGCAGCATAATTTCCAGAATATCGATGATGTTGATGCTGAAGAGCTCAGAGATCCTCTCATGGACGAAGATGTTGAAGAGGAGGAGGAAGAGGAAGAAGATGATAAAAGACATGTACAGATAAATATCAAACCTAATAAGAAAACTCTCAAATTGCAATTAAAGTATACTCCTGGAACTGTTGAAGATCCAAAGAACTTCGAATTCCCTATCAAACTTGCTGGAATCGGAATGCTTGATTCTTTATCTAGAATGATTAAAGGAGTAGGAGTAAAGCCAAGATTCATTATGATTAAGCCAGATATTAACTTTGGAAAGAAGGTTATTGCTAAAGGATCTAAGCCAATGCCACATTCATATGATGCCAATATTTCTTGCCCAGCATCTGATTCTCTAACTCCACTGACTTGGACAATTGATAAAGAAGCCTTGGAAGCTCAAAAGGTGTTCCAAATAAGTCCTACTGAAGGTAGGCTAGATCCAAACTCTAGTGCTCAAGTAAGAGTAACGTTCAATCCTGTTGAGCCTATTGAATACTATGAAAGAGTTCCTCTTTATCTTGATGGAGAAACTGATAAACCTTACTTAGTGGTCGAGCTAAGAGGAGAAGGGACTGAGCCAAAGATCTACTTTGATAGAAGAGAAGTTATACTTCCAGTTGTTCCTTTGGGAATCCAATCAAAGACAACCTTCTATGTATGTCATAACGGGTATGAAAATCTTGAACTTGATCCAAAAATAGCAAGTGAAGTTGGAAAACTTCCAATAACATGGAACTTCCCAGATGGAAATAATTTAGGAGTGACTAAATCTAAGATTAAGATCGAAGCTATGTTTACTAATTCAAAGCCTCTATCCTTCACAACTCACTTTGATTTCTATGATGATGAAGGAAACAAATTCTCAATTCCAATAAGTGGAACTACTGACAACTCAATCTTCACAATATTCTCTTTTATCCAGAGAAATTCTGATGAGTATGGCCTTGAAGTAGAAGATGGAAAGCCTATAAAGCTATACCAAGATGCTTCTTCAGATAGAGAAGAGAATAAAGGAGGATTCACCAACAAATATTCGAAAACAGGAGGTGCATCTTCAGTTGTCTCAAGAACAGCTAGATCATTAATCGGCTACAACCCTGTGCCCCTCTATGTCTTAGAAAAGAACTGTGACTATGTCTCGAGATGGTTGAATCTTTCTGTTCTGCAAAGCTCTACAATCCAAAACTACCCCTTGGATGTGATAAACAGTAACGGATCTCAGATCTATGACCTGATCCTGTACCTCTCAGGGAAGAAGGCACCTGGGAACCTGAAAAATCAAAACAATTCCTCTGTTAACAAAAAGGATGCGCTAAAGAACCTTCTTGTACAATATGAAGAGCTGATCAATTTCCTGAAAGTGAACGGAGCTCACTTAAACACAGTCAGGCCTGAATACCTGCTGAGCTTTAGTGACTATAATAAATTCCTTAAGCAAAACCCTTCACAAGGAGATCTGAAACAGAAGACATTGGAGAGGATGTTCCCATATCTCTCTGCTGAGTCATGGCTTACTTTGTTCTACCAGGTCCTGAAGATTTATTACCTGAATAGAGTCACTCCTAAGAGCTTCAAGAGTCTTCCAGGAGTTCCTCCCCAGGAAGCTACAGTTGAGAAACATATGCAGGAATCAAATGTGTATTCAACTCCAGAAACTATTCTATTGAAGTGGATGCAGCACCATTATAATCTGATAAATCCATTATTGCCAAAGAGACTAACCAACTTCGATGCAGACTTACAGGACGGAAGAGTCTTTGCTGCTCTGATCCAAAGTCATTATGGAAATGTAAAGAACCTTAAAGATGTCAAAACCTCTTGCTACAACGATGACCATCTTTTGTTCAATGCAAAGAGAGTAATCGAAGCTGTACATGAGATTGGTCTGAACACTCATGTAGTCCCACAAGATATTTCGAACCCAAGTGCGAGAGAACTTCTTTTGTTCTGTGTTCAGCTGTATCAAAGTCTTCCTCACTACATTCCAAAGGCTCAGATTGAATTCCCAGCTACTCTTGGAGATTTAGTAACTAAAAATATTGAGTTGAGTAATCCAAGTAAGAACCCAATATCTTACTGGGTTGCCTGTGAAGGTTCCAAAGACTTCTCTATTGAAGAGAAAGAAATCAGGATTGACCCAGGAGGTACAATCAATTTTCCAATCCAGTTCCAAAGTAGGATCTCAGCTTCTGTCTCTGGAAAAGTTATCTTCACTAATAAGAAGGAAGGAAATGTTCAAGCTGCTGCAATGGTCTTTGAACTTATCTCAAATGTTCATAGTAGGAATTCAGTGCAGGAAATTCCTAAAACTACTAAGCTCTATAACCAACTGACTATTGATCTCGATGTTCTGAATCCATTTGGCCAAGATTTAGTCTTCAACATCCAAATTATTCATGAAAAAGTTAATAAAGATAAAGCTCCCAAGAAGAATAAGCAAGGAATTTTGAAAGATAAAAAGAAGAATGATGAAGTAGAGACTACTCATGTTCCAGATCCCTTCTTCTGTAAACTAGAGACCATCAGAATCAAAAAGAATGGATCGAATATTGTTCCAGTCACCTTCTTACCCTTCGAACTTGGAGTCCATAAGTGATATGTCGTGTTTTCTGATGAAAATGTGGGTGAAATGCAGTACACTATTATTGGAAATACAGAACTCCCAGATCAATATGATGGTAAGAGAGATAAGTGCAATGCTGATGAAACTTACCCAATCGACATCCCAATTCCAATCAAGAACGCACAACTTGAAAAGGCTAAGAGTCTAGTACAAGATAAAATGCAAGGCCATAAAGGAAGAGACGGAGGACATTTGAAAAACATGCAATCTCCTGACTCCCAATATTTTGAAGTAGAAGTTTCAAATCCGTACTACTCTGGACCATCAAATATCACAATATATGATACAAGCAGAGCTAACCTTGGGTTAAACAAGGATGCTGGGCAGAACTCACTAGGAAAGGTTTCAGATAATGATCCTAACAAGCTGACTCTGCATTTCTCACCAAAAAGTCCTGCTACTTACCCTTGTTTGATCATCTTCAAATCATTAGATAGAACAGATATTAGAGTTTATGAGCTTACAATGACAGCTATTCCTCAGACAATTAAAGCTCAACTTGAATTTGTAGTCCCAGCAAGAGGAGCTGTTACTCAAGAAATCCCAATTGTCAATAACTCTGAAAGAGATTGGCTTGTCAAAGCAACTCTTACTAAGAGCTCTAAAGATAGAAATGGGGCCTTTGGAATAAACGCCCAAGAAATGCAAGTTAAAAGAAAGACAACCAATAACTTCTTGCTTACTTTCAAACCATATTGGGTTTGTGAGATTGATGAAAGACTCTCTTTGAACAACGCCACTACAAATGAAGTTTATGAATATGATCTTAAGGGTATCGGAGAAGAGCCTCTCGCTGAAGACCACATTATCTTGAATTGCCAAGCAAGACAGACAACAGTCCACCACTTCGAAATCAAGAACACAACAGAGAAAATTCAAAACTATAGAGTTGAAACTGATCTGAACAATGTAACTGGATCTGAGCACTTTAAAGTTAAGTCAAAAGAAAACTCTAAATATCCACTTTCGATCACCCCAATCCTTGGTGGAGTCTACACGGGTTCCATCACTTTCTACGATAGTGAAGATAGGTTCATCTGGTATACTGTGGAAGTTAGAACAGAAAGTCCTAAACCAGAGAAAACTCTTGAGCTCAAGTCCTTTATTAGAAAGGCAGTTGGAGTAGATATATCACTAGATAACCCCCTTGATGATGCAATTACATTTGAAGTATTCTATAATGGAGAAGGGCTTCTTGGAGAACCTTCATTCCAGGTTGAAGCTAACAGAACAGGAATTTATGAACTTATTTTCTCCCCTCTCAAAACAGGACACTTCACTGGAACTATTGGATTCCTCAATGAAAAAGTAGGGGAATTCTGGTACGACCTTGTTCTTGTTAGCGAGGATAACCCAACTATCAATCTTGATTTAATTGAATGTGAGCTTGGTAAAACAGGGGCTAAATATGTCACTCTTGAGAACCCAACTGGACATGAGCTGCCAATTGAGTATATTTCATCAAATCCAACTAACTTTGAAATTATTCCTGAAAAGATCATTATTCCTCCTTATGAGAGTTTCAAGATATGTATACAGTATTCTCCATCTAATTTGGACATCATTGAGAACGGAAGTATAACATTTGAAAATGAAGATGTCGGAAAATGGGAGTACTACTGTGAAGGTAAAGGTCTCCTACCAACTTTGATGGAACCTCAGCCTATCTCAACATCAGTGGGAAGCAGTACTTCCTCAATGCTGAGCTTCAAGAACCCATTCAGAGAGCCAGGAACAGTGGTAGTTAACTTAGAAACTGATGATCCTAGCATCTTTACTTTGTTGTTGAAGAAGAATAAATTCAATATTGGGCCAATGGGAATTCTTCAGATTCCTTACTCATTCTCTCCACAGACAATGACTGAAACCAAAGCGACTATTATTGTGAATATGAGCAAGACTCTTGTTTGGAAGTATCCTATTAGAGGAATTGCTGAGAGTGCTTCAACATCTATTGACTTCCATCTCAAGACCAAGAGTAGAAAACCATTAAAAGAAAGTATCAAGATTAGGCTCCCAGGATTCGAAGATCTTGCTCCTGATGATGTCTTTACTCATGAAGTCAATGTTTTGAACCCTAACAGCAAGGTCTTTGTAGAAAAATCTGTGCTTTTTGAGCAATTAAAAGATACTTTAGATTCCCCAGATGACGAGCTTGAGTTCACACTCAGATTTGAACCCCTCAGACCATTCAAGGCAAACACTGAATTTATTATCCACAAGAGCTCTGGAGGAAGATGGAAGTTCAATGCTATATTCGAAGCTACAGAACCAGAAGCAGATGATGTGATCATTATTCAAAGTCCTCTTCAAAAAACATCAAGTGTGTCCTTCAAGCTGACAAATTACCTAAGAAGCTATGCTGAGTTCCAAGCCTTTTTCACTGCAGATTCTGCAGCAGAGTTTGTGGTGTACCCCAAGTCTGGAATGCTCGAACCTTATGGTAAAGAAGGTAAGATTTACAAACTTAAATTTTAGGAACGAATTTCATTGTTTCGTTTACACCAACTGAGTATGGAAAAGCCAAGGTTGGCAAGCTCATGATCCAGACTGAAGAAATGCAGTGGAGCTATGAAGTCAGAGGCTCTCATCCTGAATACAAGATTCCAGAGGTAAAGGGAGGCAGATTCATCAACAACAAGTAAGTTTATCTTAAAGAACACTACTCTAACTTCTTTAGGCTCTCAAAAGATATTCTTAAGGTGTTAAAGGAAAGACATGAGCATAAGAAGAATTTCTTGAAGGAAAACCTGAAGAACATCAAGAGATCTCCAGAAAAGACTCGCAAAGAGCCTCGAGTCAAAGATGGAGCAAATACCAGTGTCACTAGATCAGTCTATGATAGAACTGGACTCGAGTAAATCACTCTTCTTCTACTTTTATACGTTTATCCTCCAATCTGATATCATAGTGCGGGGTTTTGGGGTTTTGGGGTTTTGGGG